GACCAAATTATTGGTATCATTCAATACGTGCCCAAGTTATTGATGTCATTCAATACGTGACCAAGTTATTGGTATCATTCAATACGTGACCAAATTATTGATGTTATTAAATACGTGATCAATTGGTATCATTCAATATGTGACCAGGTTAGTTGTGTCATTCAGTACGTGACCAAGTTAGGACGTGGCGTGATACTAATCACGTGACCTCGCTGACGCAACACAGTAATGATGGAGTGAGTTCAGTGCCAGTCATTTACTTCAGTGTTAGAACTAGAAGTGAGGAGTTTAATCTGGCATTCAGTGACTCCGTGAGTTAGTGTTGTTTACAGACCCATTAGCTTTAAGAGAAAATTTTATAACGTACGTCTCGCATTTTATAATGAAATTTTGTATTTGAACTATTGAAGCTAGTTTGTAGTTTATGTTGAAAAGTTTATTTGTAAAATCAGACCTACAAGTGAACGTGGCTTTAACATAGGGTACTGGAGATATAAGTTAATTCGTTATCATTGAGTGGACTGGACTCGGCATTCTTTTTAATCAAATAATCTAAAAGTGTCTGCCTAACGTTAAAATACGTTACAAAATTGGTGTCAAAAAGGAGGTTATTTAGATGAAAATAAAATATAACTTTGACTAAATTTTAAGATAACAATTAGATCACAAAGCGAGATCGAAACCTTGTTAGAGATGATGAAACAATATAAAAACAGGCCAAGAATAAAAAGAGAGGAGAATTAAAAGAGCAACAAAATATTTTGAAAATGAATCGATAAATGCAAAAATCAAACCTGCCACACCTCTTTCAGCATCTGCCGAGGAATTCCAACCTAAAATGCTATTTATCATAAAATATGAAATATAAAAACCTATTTGGTATATACATGTTACCACTATTGCTGCACCATTTGTAACTGCAGGATCTACCTATACTACTCTAGCTGTGCCACTACCAAACTCAGTTCCAGAACTTAACTGGAAGTTCAACAACAATACCCAATTGAGAAACCAATGATTGTTATGGAAAACTACCATGAAATGCACATGAGTTTCAGTCCTAAATAATTTCCAGAGTGAATTAATTATTAATTAGTAATCTGGAAAGTTAAGGTTTTCAGCAAGATGCCTTCTGTGTGCTGTGTATTGTTAATTCTTTTTATGTTTATACAGCAAGTTTACATTCAGGAGGTCCAAATGACAAACACCAGTAATCCAGCAGTGGCTAGATAATTTTCTCTTTTCGTTAGATTTGGTATGATGCTGTCTAAGATTAGTACAAATAATTTTAACATAACTTTCACCAAACATGTGAATCACAGGTAATAAAGCAGGAATGAAGTGACATTAGGCTCATTGGTATGAACTGCAGTTTATAAGTGACCCCCCAGCCCATTTTATGATAACAACTACTTTTTGTCATGGAAAATGAGGAAAATAATTTATTAAATTTTTATTTCCTTTCCTCTGTTCGAATTTGTTTACCAAACAATTATCTATATTAAAAAGAAAAAATTTTTTTTTCTTCAGTGAGTTTCTTTCTTAAAGTCGCTGAGTGCAGGCGAAAAAGTTTTACAACCAACTAATTGTGGTTAAAATTTTATATTTTGTGAGATTGAATTATATTTGTTCTTTCCTCCTTTTTTTATGAAGTTAGAAATCTATACTATTTCACATCAACTCTTCACTCCCAACTGAAGCATCTTCACAAACGATTTTGTCTGTGTAGGGTAAAAATGTTAGCATCTGTAAAATATTTTTTGTTTTTGCTTTAAAGTTGGTATTTTGCATGTTGCCAAATTTTTATTAGGCCGTGAAAAAGGAGTTCATGGGTATTTCTTCTATTCTTTTCGAAATTTTTAATAATCCAACCCTTATTTTGAGTCATAAGCCAACTAATCATGATGCCTTAATATTTCAGTAAAATTTGGATGATTGTATTTTCTGAATGATTAGAGAATATATATCCCCTTAAACGAATACTTTAGCATTATTTATCAACCCATTTGTATCTTTCAGTAATAATTAATCCTGATGAACCAGCAGGAAGTTTGTGGGCTTATAATGCTAAACATTGAGTTTTGATACCAGTGGTGGGCAGAACAAAGATAGCCCATTGGAATATGGCAAAAAGTCTAATGAGATCTCCATTTATCATAATGGTCTGATGGAAACAATCAGTAACGTAGGGATACTTAGGTTAAACAGGACAAATGCCCTAGGGCCCAATAAAAATTATGGAGCTTCATATAATAATTTTATCTGTATGTTAAATACTTAATATTAAATCTTCCCCAGTGGCTTAACAGTAAGCTTGTAGGCTTATAACGCTAAAAGTCGAGGTTCAGTTCTTGCAATGGGCATAGAGCAAATAGCCAATTGTGTAACTTTATGCTTAACAAAATAAACAGGTATTGAACAACAATGTTAAGAATTAAAAAGATTTGGCAAGATTAGAGAAAAACATCGTCCCGTCTTTTTTGCTAGTGAAATCTTGTTGTTTTTTTTTCAGTCAGTCTTGTTGAAAGAAATCTTTCATGCATCTACCATCAAATACTTGGCTTAATTACTGATTCTTGAGAACAGTTCGTTAAAATCGTATTAACTTAGACGTGTACACAACGATAATTTTCAAGACTGAATATGAAAAGGAACTATCTACAAAGTTCAATGGGTCGAGAAAGGGGCTGGAGATTCTATAAGAACGAACTAGACAAATGAACTTCAAAAGGGAACATTGATGTCTTCACGTAGCAGAAGACAAGCAAGATAGATTTTGCAACTTTAGCCATTACTGAATTTCCGTTGTCGTATAATTTATTGAATAAAATGTATTTTTGTACGTTAGATGATTACGTGATAGAGAGTTGCGGAATAAAGGGTATTGTTACGACAGCGGAAGTCACATGACGCTGGTAACACGTCAT